AACAAATGTTTCAACAATGTACATGGAACCACAAAAGATCTGAATGGCAACAGCAATTGTGAAAAAGGAGAACAAGGAGGAATCATGCTACCTAATATCAAACTGTACTACAAGGTATAGTAATCAATAGAGCATGGTACTGGCATAAAAACAGACATGTAGATCAATGGGACAGAATAGAGAGCCCAGAAATAAGTCCACACCTTTATAGTCAATTAATATTTGACAAAGGAGGCAAAAACATACAATAGGCTAACAATAGTCTATTCAGTAAATGATGTTGGGAAAATTGGACAGATACGTGCAAAAACTGAAACTAGACCACCTTCTTACACCTCACATAAGAATGGATTTCCATTTAACTCAAAATGGATTAAAGACTTAAATGTTAGACTCAAAACCATAAAAAATTCTAGAAGAAAGCATAGGTCATAAAACCTCAACATTTTTCATAGCAGTATTTTTTCTGATATATCTCATCAGGCAAGAGAAACAAAATAAAAAATGGGACTACACCAAACTAAAGAGTTTTTACACAGCAAAGGAAACCATCAACAAAATGAAAAGACACACTGAATGAGAGAACATATTATCCAATGATACATCTGATAAGGGGTTAATATCCAAAACTTATAAAGAACTTATAAAACTCAACTCCAAAAAGACAAACAATCCAATTTAAAAATGGGCAAAAGACCTGAATAGAAACTTCTCTGAAGAGGACATATAGATGGCCAAGAGACATGGGAAAAGATGCTCAACGTCACTAATCATCAGAGAAATGCAAATTAAAAACACAATGAGATATCACTTCAACCTGTCAAAATGGCTATCATCAATGAATCAACAAACAAGTGTTGGCAAGGATGTGGAGAAACGGGAACCCTTGTGCACCGGTGGTGGGAATGCAGACTGGTGCAGCCACTGTGGAAAACAGTATGGAGTTACCTCAAAAAATTAAAAATGGAACTGCCTTATGACCCAGTGATTCCACTTCTGGAAATTTATCCAAAGAAACACAAAACACTAATTCAAAAGAATATATGTACCCCTATGTCCATTGCAGCATTATTTACAATAGCCAAGATTTGGAAACAGCCCAAATGACCATCAATAGATGAGTGGGTAAAAAAAAGCTGTGGTACATTTACGTGATGGAACACCACTTTGTCATAAAAAGGAAGAAAATTTTATCCTTTGTGACAGTATGGGTGGACCTGGAGAACATTATGCTAAGTGAAATAAGCCAGTCAGAGAAAGACAAGTATCATATGATTTTACTCATGTAGAATTTAATGAACAAACTGAACTACCAAGCAGAATACAGACAGAGAGCAGGCAGACAGCTCTGTTGGGGGAGGGAGGTGTGGAGGGATTGAGCAAAAAAGAAAAAAGAGAGATAACTCATGGACATGGATAACAGTGTGGTTATTGGTCTGGGGAGGGGGTGAAAGGGAATGGGTGGAGGTGGAAGAGGGCATAGGGGGGTAAATTGTGATGGAAAATAAATGTTTTTAAATCTCAGACATTTTTCATAGTAATATATTTTCTGGTATATCTCCTAGAACAAGGGAAACAAAAGAAAAAATAAACAAATGGGACTACATCAAACTAAAAAGTTTTGCACATCAAAGGAAACAATAAAAAAATGAAGAGCCCCAGCTAGGTGCTGCAGTTGGTTGGCACATCATCTGTACACCAAAAAGTTGCAGGTTTGCCCAGACAGTGTGGCTCAGTGGTTGAGCATCGATCCATGAACCAAGAGGTCATTGGTTTGATTCCTGGTCAGGGCACATGCCTGGGTTATAGGCTTGATCTCCAGTAGAGTGGGTTCAGGAGGCAGCCAATCCATGTTTCTGTCTCTCCCCCTCCCTTTGTTTACCTATAAAAATCAATAAAAACATGTATTTTTAAAAAAGGTTGTGGGTTCAATTCCTGGTAGGGGTACATACCTAGGTTGTGGGTTAGATCCCCAGATTGGGCTCATACGGAAGGCAACCGATCAGTTATAAGAATGCTCAGTGAACTTAAGGGAAGAGTAGATGAACTTAGTGAAAACTTCAACAAAGAGGAAACATAAAGAACCAGTCAGAAATAAAGAATACATTAAATGAAATAAAGAATATATTACAAGGAATCAAGAGTGGAGTAGATGAAGCAGAGGATCAGATCAGATATTTGGTAGATAAGGAAGTTGAATCAGAGAACACCCAACCAGAACAGTAAAAATAATAAATAAATCAATAAATAAATAAATAAATAAATAAATAAATAAATAAATAAATAGTGTAAGGAGATTCTGGGACAACTTCAAGTGCCCCAATATCTGCATCATGTGGTTGCTGGAAGGAGAAGAGAGAGAGCAAGAAACTGAAAATCTATTTGAAAAAATAGTGACAGAAAACTTCCCTAATCTAGTGAAGGAAATAGATTTACAAGTACAGGAAGCTCAGAGAGTCCCAAACAAGATGAACCCAAAGAGGCCCACAGGAAGACAGATCATAATTAAAATGCCAAAGGTTAAAGACAAAGACAGACTTTTAAAAGCAACGAGAGAAAAGCAGTTAGTTACCTTAAAAGGAGCTCCCATAAGACTGTCAGCTGATTATTCAACAGAAACTTTGCAGGCCAGAAGAGAGTAGCAAGAAATATTCAAAGGGATAAAGAGTAAGACCTACAACCAAGATTACTCTACCCAGCCCTGGCCAATTAAACACATGACTCAGAAAAAAAGTGAATGGAAGGAAAGCATATAAAAGTATAAGAGTAGACAAATGCATAGATTAACAAGTAAAATTATAAAGCCAGCTAACCAACAACTATGTCAAAATAACTAGAGATTTGTTAAATTACAGAAATGGATAAACCTATTTTTTAAAAGGAGAGAATAGAAATACATTGAAAAGAATTGATAAGAAATACAAAGTACTTGATTCAGTTCCATGCAGATAAAATTAAAATATTTAATGGAACTGATAATATTCTGGCTTACATACAGATTATTAAAACTGACAGGGTGGGACTGGGTGGAGGGGGGCAATGTGAGGAAAGCGGGGACATCTATAATACTATCAACAATAAAGGTTTTTTTTAAAGAAAAAAAACCCACAGGAAGAGTGTTTAGAAATTAGCCTTGGGGCCCAGCTGGCATTGCTTAGTGGTTGAGCTTTGACCTATGATCCAGGAGAGCGAGGTTCGATTCCTGGTCAGGGCACATGCCCAGGTTTCAGGCTCCATCCCCAGCAGGGGGCATGCAGGAGGCAGCCAATCAATGACTCATCACTGAGGTTTCTCTCTCTCCTTTCCTTTCTCTGAAATCAATAAAAATATTTTTTTTAAAAAATAGGAAAGAAATTAGATAGGCAATAAGAACTATAAATGGTCACTTCAGAGGGGAAAAAATGCCTCAGAAGAAATAGACAACTGAAACAATCACAATTTCCACAAAAACAACAGAAAAAGTTGTCAAAGATTCACTCTTCAATGAAATAAAAGAAGATAAAGCACCAGTCCCAGATGGTTCCACAGGAACTATTCTATAACCTTTTTTATAAACCTCACCTGAGGCACCTTCACCTCAGCCTAGGTTTCCATCCCCAGGTGAGGTGCCCTGACAAGGAATCAAACCTGCAACCTTTTTTTTTTTTTGGTGTACAGGATGATGCTCCAACCAACTGAGCCACTGACCAGGGCTATTCTATAAGCTTTTTAAAGAGCAGATTTTTAAAAATGATATTTAAGTGTTCAGATCATAAAAAACTTTCACACACAAAAATTAAGAAAACTGAACAAGGTAAAATTAAATACATTTTAAAAATAAAGTCCAGAGATAAGCGAGATTATACAGTATTTGTCTTTCTCTAACTTATTTCACTTAGCATATTGCCCTCAACGTCCATTCATGCTGTCACAAATGGCAAGATTTCCTTCATGTTATGGCTGAGTCACATTCCATTGTATAGGTATATTGTGTTTTCTTTATCCACTCATTTATAGATGGACACAGGTTATTTCCATGTCTTGGCTATTATAAATAATGCTGCTATGAACATGGGGTACAAATATATTTTTGAGTTCATGTTTTTGTTTCCATTGCATATATACCCAGAAGCAGAATTGCTTGATCATATGGTAGTCCTGTTTTTTTTCTGTTTATCTTTTGCAGAACCTCCATACTGTTTTTCATAGTGGCTGCACCAATTTACAATCCAACCAACAGTGCACAAGTGTTCCCGTTTCTCCACATCTTCACCAATATTATGTTAACTCTTGTCTTTTTTATGATAGCCATTCTAACAGGTGTGAGGTGATATCTCATGGTTTTGATTTGCATTTCCCTGATTAGTGATGTTGAGTACCTTTCTGTGTACCTGTTGGCCATCTGTATATTGTTCAGATCCTTTGCCCATTTTTCAATCAGATTGTTTGGGGATGAGGTTGCTATTGAGTTGGATGAGTTCTTTATAGATTTTAAATATTAACTTCTTATCAGATATACGATTTGAAAAACTTTTTAGTCTGATGCAGTCCAATTTGTTTATTTTTGTATCCTTAACATATATTAAGATATACGTAATATGTATCTTACAGTTGTTATCTGCGGGAGGGTTAGCCTGATAGAAGTTACTTGGCCATTGTTGGAAGTGAAATTCTATACATTATCTTAATTGATTTAATAAAATGGCTTTTCCCAATGATATCTGCATAGGCAACTTTCTCTAACAAAAATTTGTGTTGGGTGCATAATAGTATACAATAGATATGTGTTGAAAGTTTCAGTTAGGAATATTAGGGTTACCTTTTACTACAGTAAATTGCAGCCACAAATATTCTTTAGACTAGAAAAGAAATAATCCTTGTTGGGAGCTCTATGGGTATCCGCTTCTTAACCGCATGGGCTAGAAAACTTTAGGTTTTTTAATCTCATCTATGTGAACTGTATGCTCAATGGAACAGTTGACTTGGATCTGTTTGTTTATGATTACACTATCTTGATTCAGGTTAGGTCAAGAATTGGCTATTGTACTCAGTCTGACCCTGTGATTAACCACATGACGGGTCAGGAATTGCTGATCATGTACGCCAGGCTGCATGGGGTCCCTGAGCCAAAGATCAACAAGTATGTAGAAATCTTTTTGCATTCAATGCACCTGGAAACCTATGCTGACAAGTTTGTCCACACATACAGGTGAGATATTATGATGTTGCAATTATTCTGCCTACCTGTGTTTCTACTGTTTAGAATGAATGCCTGCTAACGCAAACTGATCCCTCTGTCACAGAGGCAGTGACTGCAAAAGAGCCTCATGTCCTGTCAGGGTTCAGATGTCAGAAGTAAGGTAGACCGCACTTGTATGAAGTTAACCTTTTGCAGGCATAAGCTATAGCCTTTGCATTTAAGAAAGAACATCTTCATCCCTCTCTCCCTATGGTTGTTTATCTCCCCAAAACAAAAATATTACAGCAATAATGATGCTGAAATAAATGACCAAAAAAAGTCATTTCAGTGAAAATGGGTTGATATATACACCTGGATTTCAGCCTGCTGCTTTGTGATTCATATCAAATCAGCATTCTGGATATATGAGCTGATTCTGTCCTATGAATTACTTCTGTACCCTTACTTTTTTTCTCTCTCTTTTCTTCCTAATAAAGTGGAGAAGACAAACGTAAATTGAATACTGTTATAGCCCTAATGGGAAAGCCCTCAGTTGTCTTCCTGGATGAGCCATCTGCTGGCTTGGAGTCAGTAGCCAAGCGCCGTTTCTGGGACACAGTGACGTGGATGTGTAAAACTGGCAAGGCTATTATCATAACTTCACACAGGTATGACCATCGGGAGGTCTGGTTGAGAGTTAGAAGAGTACAGGAGGGAATTCGTTGGAGCCAGGAATATAGTCAGTTAAGAATGTGAGCTACATACATAAGAGGTGCGGTGGGTAGAGGTTAATTCTTGGCTAAGCCAAGAATCCTAAATTGAGTTCTGAAATCCAGAATTAATAGAAGAAGGGAACTATTTCTATCATGGATTTAGGAATCAACGGCATTCGATTTTAAAATCTTCTCTCCCCAAATATGGCCTTAGTGGTGATTTTCTGTAATGCCTACTTTTCCTACTGCAAATATTACCTCATAGTCTTTGCTCTGCTTTGAAATGCTGAATTCACCCTCTGAAAAAGAGAGTCTTCAGCCAAATCTTCTTTGTCCCCCTAGCATGAAAGAATGTGAGACCTTCTGTACCAGGCTGGCCATCATGGTAAATGGGAGGTTCAAGTGCCTAGGAAGCCCCCAGCACCTCAAGAGCAAGTTTAGTGATATATACACCCTGACAGTGAAGATCAGGGTGGATAAGAATGAAAATAAGCTGAAGGAGTTCAAAGAATTCATTGCAACAACCTTCCCAGGTAATATGGGCAGGGCTGGCTTTGTGACAGCTGTGTTAAGTCCGGTGTGTAATAAAGATAAAGTATAGCTGTACACAGCAGAAGGAGTGAAAGGAGGCATGAAAGCAGTGCATGCGGTGTGACGACATTTCCATGAAGTGCAAAGACGGCAAAACCAAACTATAGTATTTAGGGTTCCATATTTAGGTAATAAAATTATAAAAAATATCAAATAAATGCTTACCATAAAAATGGAGGTAGTTTCTTTACAGGGGAGGAAATGAACCTTGGTAGTGGCACATAGGTGACCTATAGAATTTTAGGTGTCGGTGCCATGTTTGTGAACTTTATTATAATTCGCTGCACTGTACATTTATGTTCCATATACTTTTTATACGTCTGATATATTTCACAATTTTAAACTTTTTTAAAATTTTACTTAAAGAGGCTATGTAGGGACTCATTACCAAAAAAAATATATACCACCTACTGTTATTGACATATTGCTTATTTATTTTAAATATTTTAACCCCAATTAATTTCATTTGCAATAATCCCCAACTGTGTGATAATAAATATAAATGCACCCTATCAATTAGGAATGGCTACAATATCACTACCATATTTTTTTAAAAGCTGTAATAGCTCACTGCTCCAGTGAATGCCTTCACATCTATGTTTTATATACATGAGTTTTATCTTTCCTAGAATGAAGGTTGCCTCCTCATGAGAAGAGTATAGAGATCCTAACACACACACACACACACAACTGGAAAAAGAAATCACCCCCCAGTTTTTGAGTATATTTTCAGGACAATGTTTAGAAACAGTTCTATAGAACATTAGGATTCATATACGTCAGGTGTGGCAAAGTGAGCTTGTGAGCTATCAATTTTTCAGTCTAAAAGTGATTATTCCAGCTCTGCAATTTTTACAAACTACAGGCAATAAGGCCATATTTCATCACATTGATGTAAAGCTATTGAAATACTTAATACTTAACATATGCTAAAAAGAAAGGGATTTGGGATTGTCGTCTTTTGTATTAATTGCATGTAATATCTCTTCTATTGGTGTGGACGATTGGAATGGGAATTAGTTGGGAATGTTGTAAAACTCTATTGAATCTGGGGCCCTCTCTGTTACTCACCTGTCAGATCTTTCTTAGGTAACGTCATAAACCAGGAGTATCGAGGAATTATTTACTACCACATTCCCAGAGAGGAAATTTGCTGGGGAAAGGTGATTATCAAAATCATACCAATATTAACATTATGTGTTAATAGAGGAGCAACAGGAAGCATTGGGTTTCAGGCACGTGGAATGGGAGCCTGACATTGTTACAGGAGGAGACTATTTAACTTACTTTTCAGTGTCCCCTGTCGTTGGACTGAGACTTCCGACCCTATATTATGTTATTCCATACCTATCAAGAGAGTAGGCAGGAGAGCTGCCTCCTCTTCTCTCTGTTTTCCAACCATCTTTCCTTCCTACTTTCTAACTTCCCCTTCTATCTATTTTTATCCATAAGCATAAACCTGGCAGGAGTTGGGTGAGGAAAAGGTTCGTCTGGGGACATTGCAATGATAACACCACCATTTTTTTTCTGTTAAAGGTGTTTAATATTTTGGAGGAAGCTAAAGTGCTATTCAATTTAGAAGACTATTCCATCAGTCAGATAACACTGGAACAAGTCTTCCTGGCCATTGCTAATGCTGATAAATTGGAAAGTGAACAAGAAATAAAGCTATGAAATTCAGTTCTAACCAGTGACCTTTATGTCTTCCTTAAACGGCTGCCTGCAACTAACTGCACAGAAGCACCTCTCTCCTTGCCTTTCTCTCTTCCTCTTCCTTTTGTCCCTCTTCCTCTTACCTTCCCTTCCCTCTCCCCCTTCTCCCACTCTCTCACTCCCCCTTTCTCTCTGTATGTGTGTAAACAAATTGAACACCCCAAAAAGAAGGCTTGCAGTCTTCCAAGGTGAAGACACGTGACCTGTTGTCAAGAACTGAACTGTGAGGGGCCAGAGATCTTACCCTACTTGCAAGTTATCAAATTAGCTGACCACAGTTTCGTGAACACTGGCAGAAGATGCTGGAATCCTGAGTCAGACTCGGGATTTTATTACTCACATAAACAGCAGTAGTCAGAGATCCTATCTGTGCCAGTTCTCCAATCACTAATTTTCACAAGGCAACACAAAGAAAGCCAAGTAATGCCTGTATATTCAGTGGGTTGTGTTATAAGAGAGAAGCCATGAGTTTATAGAACCTAAATCTTTTATAATGGGCCATAGGTAAACCTATCCAAGCTTTGCTCTGGAAAGAAACATTTTGACTATTCTGAACAAAAAAATATTCTGACTATACTGAACATTAAATAAATCTTCTCTCTGGTCCAGAGGGAGATACTCTGTCTTTTCAAAAGCTGTTTGCCCTATAATCATCCTTGTAGAAGTAGTCTGAAACAGTGAGGCGCAGTTAGTCTTCTGCTTGCAAGTCATGCAGAGATGCAAGAGACCTGTGAAGAACTGTCTCCCAAAAATATCCACCCTTCATTTACACACCATCTTGGCTTCTGGAAAATAATCCCATGAATATGCCACCCCATCAGCCATTCAGATTAATCTGATATTGGAACCAAATTTATTGGTCTCATACAATTTTAAGGCTATCAATAGAACTCTAAGCAGCATGATGAAGCCAGCCTTCAGCTTTGACCTCAACCATGTCCCCCAACATCTCAGATCCAACTGGTTGAACAAATCCCATAAACAACTGAGTCTACCTCAGAAAGTCAAGTGGCTTCCTCCTTACATTTCTGTACTGACCACTCCACTTGGCCTGTTCTCTCCTTCTATAATTACTGTTATTCAAATGTGACACTTCCTACATTAAGTAATTTATGTCTCTTATGTTTTTCTTTTTCTGCATTCTCAGAGAGTGCTTCCATTTTGTCTACCAGCCCTTATCTTGGTTTTAAGCAATGATATTTTTCATTTCAAAGGGTTCTTGTCTCCCTACTGGCTCCTTTTGAAAAAGCATCCTGTAGTTCTATGTGTTGCAGTATGTTCTAAGGCCAGAGGAGCTGCCTCAGTGGTGCACCCTACCTGACTGGCACAACTATTCTGGACACTTAAAGTTTTTCCTAAATTTTTAAGATCTCCAAATGACATGCCACCTCCAAGCCTTGGGCGTCTCCAGGATCGCACTGAGAAATCTGCCCCAGGATTTTGTGTTACCCATCTTGCATGCATGGTAGGCAAGCAATTTCTCTCATTGTCATTGGTCAACACATGTCTATCTGCTTTCAAAATTGTCTTCCCTTTCACTCATCTACTGTTAGAGGTTTATTTACATTCCATTTATTTTAGGTAAGAGAGACACCAAGTCCTCCTCAGCAAAGACTAAAGTTTTAAACTAAAGAGAGAGAAAAAAACATACAAAAACTAACTTAATCTCCAAAGTATATGGAGGTAATAAACCTAAGAACATAAGTTAACCAAGAAGGGGTGGGGTGTAGAGGGATGAAGAGGGCTTGGCTAGGGGAAAGCTTGAAGCAACACTCGCAAGGACTCCACAGGAAGGGGACTTGTGGAAGGAACTAGAAGAGGCAAACAATAAGGGTGGGTGACTGAAAGTGGGGCGCACATGTGGGCATAGGGCAGCTGCAAGAGGAGGCGGTGGTGTGGGGGTTAAGGGATGAGGGGGCAAGGCACACATGTGAGGGACTGAGAGTCACCTGTACCGCTGGGCAGAGGCGCTGCTCCAGATAGGGGCGGTTGTGGGACCGAGGGAGGAGCAAGGTGGCTGTAGCAGCCTACACCATGGAGACTTCCAGCAGCCAGGTGACTGTCCTCGGACCCCTGGCCTGCAAGCTTGTTTTCACCAGTAATCCTGTCCTGTCCCCTCTGTGCACACAGGGCCCCAGCCACACCTGGCTGAAAGCCTGAAGTCCAATGTGGAATGCAGTTTTCCCTAGCTTTGTAGAAGCTGTGGAAAATTTAGGTTGATTTCTGAAATGCTGAGAAAAATTTGAAATGGAAGTCATTTGGTATGGTATAACAATTTTTGCATGAAATGATCCTGTGTATGTACTGTTTGATCCTTAAACAATTTGGGGATTGCCCACCATGGGAAAATCCAAGTATAACTTTGACTCCCCACAAAACTTAATTATAGCCATCCCTCTGTATCCACAGGGATACCAGAATCCAGGAATACTTAAGTCCCTTTTAGAAAATAGCAGGATCCAGTGACATCAGAGGAATGACAGCATGAGAGATCCTCTTGATCTCTCCCCTTGCAGTTTCAAAAATCTGAACAGCCATATGCCAATAAGAGAGTCCCTGATCAATACGCAAATATGCCTGAGAGACCCTCTCAGTGAAACATCTAAAGGCGGGCAAGTAGAACAAAGAGGGAGACAAAAAAGAAGTGGGGCTAATACCATCCAAGAATGCAGCCAGCAGCTGAAAGCTCACAGTGAGGCACAGCCAGGAGAGAGGAGGAATCTGGTTGTCACTGACAGCCCTTTGGGCAGGAGAAACAGTTCAACTACTGCTGAACTGAGTGTCCTGCGCAAGAAAGCAACCTGGGAGAGCTGTGGCACTTGTCCTGGGGCAGTTGGTAATTCAGACAGTGAAACAAAGCCACAAAGCCTGGCTGCCTCCCCTTACCTCCTAGAGAATGCCTTCCTTTGCCCTTGGAGTCGGGTTGTGGAGCACATTAACTGCAAGTAGGAAGACAAACACTGCAGAGTCACATTTCTGTGTGCCCATTTTTAATTGGATTGTCTTTTTTGTTCAATTGTATGAGTTCCTCATATTTTTGAAATTAGCCCCTTATCAGATGTATCATTCGCAAATATGTTCTCCATACAAAGGACTCCCTTTTCATTTTGCTGGTTTTTGCTACTCAGCTTTTTGTTTTGATGTAGTCCCATTTGTTTATTTTCTCCTTTGTTTCCCTTGCCCCAGGTTGTCCTGGGTGTTAATTTCTGGGTGTTAATTTTGTATCCTGCTACATTGTTCAATTCATTTATTAAATCTAGTAGTGTTCTGGTGGAGTCTTTAGGGTTTTCTATGTACAATATCATGTCATCTGCAAATAGTAACAGTTTTACTTCCTCTTTTCCAATTTGAATGCCTTTTATTATTTCTTCTTGTCTGATCCCTGTGGCTAGGACTTCCAGTACTATGTTGAGTAAGAGTGCTGAAAGTAGACACCCCTGTCTTGTTCGTGTTCTTAGGGGAAATGGTTTTCGTTTTTGCCCGTTGAATATGATGTTGGCTGTAGGTGTGTGATATGTGGCCTTTATTATGTTGAGGTATGATCCCTCTATTCCCACTTTGCTGAGAGTTTTTAATCAAAAATAGGTGTTGGATTTTGTCAAATGCTTTTTCTGTGTCTATTGATATGATCATGTGATTTTTGTCTTTCAATTTGTTTATGTGATGTATCACATTTATTGATTTACAAATATTGTACCAGCCTTGCATCCCTGGAATAAATTCCACTTGGTCATAGATTTATGATCTTTTTAATATATTGCTGGATCCGATTAACTAATATTTTGTTGAGGATTTTGGCATCTATGTTCATCAGGGATATTGGCCTGTAATTCTCTTTGTAGTGTCTTTATCTGGTTTTGGAATTAGGCGAATGCTGGCCTCATAAAGAGAGCTTGGAAGTATTCCTTCCTCTTGGATATTTTGGAATTGTTTGAGGAGGGTAGGTGTTAGTTCTTCTTTGAATGTTTGCTAAAACTCCCCTGTGAAGCCATCCAGACCAGGGGTTTCTGTGCTGGGAGGTTTTTTATTACTGTTTCAACTTCATCAGTAGCTATCGGCCTATTCAGGTTTACCTGATTGAGTTTTGGAAGGTTGTATTTTTCTAGAAATTTGTCCAGTTCATCCAGGTTGTCCAGCTTGGTGGCGTATAGTTGTTCATAGTATTTTCTTAAAATCCTTTGTATTTCTGTGGTGTCAGTTGTCACTTCACCTCTTTCATTTCTGATTTTATCTGTGTCCTCTCTTTGTTTCTTCATGAGTCTGGCTAAAGGTTCATCAATCTTGTTTATCTTTTCAAAGAACTAGCTCTTGGTTTCACTGATTTTTTTGTATTGCTTTTTTTGGTTTTTATGTCATTTAATTCTGCTCTTATCTTTACCATTTCCTTCCTTCTACTTACTCTGGGCTCTTCTTGTTCTCTTTCTAAGTTTTTGTGAGGTTAGAGAGTCTATCAGAAGTTTTTCTTGTTTTTTGAGGTAGGCCTGTAGTACTATGAACTTCCCTCTTAGGACTGCTTTCATTGTGTCCCATAGATTTTGGATTGTTGTGTGTTCATTTTCATTTGTTTCCAGGAAGTTTTTTATTTCTTCCATGATCTCTTTGGTAACTCATTCATTGTTTAATAACATGCTATTTAGCCTCCATGCATTTGAATGTTTTTTAGTGTTTTTATTGTAGTTGATTTCTAATTTCATGCCACTGTGATCCGAGAAGATGCTTGATCTGATTTCTACCTTCTTGAACTTGTAGAGGTTTGTTTTGTGTCCTAACATGTGGTTTATCTTTGAAAAATGTCCCCTGTGCACGTGAGAATGTGTATTCTCTAGCTTTGGGTGAAATGTTTATAAATGTCAATTATGTCCATCTGATCTAGTGTGTCATTCAGGATCGCTATGTCCTTGATTTTTTTGTCTGGAAGATCTATCCAGTAAAGTCAGTGGGGTGTTAAAGTCCCCTACTATGACTATACTGCTGTTGATCTCTCCTTTGAAGTCCTCCAGTAGTTGTGGGTTTTTTCCCCAACCTGTGTGAGGCTTTTGTTCTGACGTGGGTCTTTTGTAGATAGCATATATGTGGGTCTTGTTTTCTTATCTATTCATCTACCCTATACCTTTTTATTGGAGCATTTAACCCATTTATATTTGTTATTATTGATAGGTACTTATCTATTGCCTGTGGGGGCCCAGCCAGACCTATTGCGCCTCTGCACTTCCTACCAGTCTCTATGTGGTCTTCTCTTTTCCTCCTTGGTTATGAGGGTGCTCTCCATCTTGTCTTCAGTTACAGTTGATTATTCAGGATGATTTTTCTATATTTTAGCTGTAATTCCAGTTTGGTCCTGGGAGACTGTCAATGTAGCTTCCACTCAATCTGCCACCATCTTGGAATCTTCTAGCTAACATTTCTTGAGTGTTTTCCATGAGCCCTGCCCGCCTCTTAAGACTTTATACATATTAATTTCTCACACCCACCTCATGATGTATAGGTGATTATTATCCTTATTTTTATAATTATTCCACAGATATGGAAACTGAGGCAGAAAGAGCTTTCCCAAGATTTCAGTCAACAAAAGTGGACCTAAGCAGTATAGCCCCAGAGCCCATACTACCCAAAGCAATCTATAGATTCAATACAATCCCTATTAAAATACCATCAGCATATTTCACCAATCTAGAACAAATACTCCAAAAATTTATTTGGAACCAAACAAGACCCCGAGTAGTGACAGCAATCTTGAGAACAAAGAACAAAGTTGAAGGGATCACAACACCAGGTATCAAACTATACTACAAAGCCATTGTAATCAAAATAGCCTGGTACTGGCAAAAGAACAGGCATATAGATAAATGGAACAGAACATAGACCCAAGAAATTAACCCATGCCATTATGGTAATTAATATTTGACAAAGAGACAAAGCATACAATGAAATAAAGACAATCTCTTCAATAAATGGTCCAGGGAAAATTGGACAGGTACATGCAAAAAGAATGAAACTAAACCACCAACTTACATCATACACAAGACTTAAACTCAAAATGGACAAAAGACTTAAATTTAAGCTGTGAAACCATAAAAATCCTAGAAGAAAACATAGGCAGTAAAATCTCAGACATCTCATGTAGCAGAATTTTCACCAATACATCTCCTAAGGCAAGAGAAATAGAGGAAAAATAAACAAATGGGACTACATCAAACTAAAAATCTTCTGCACAGCAAAAGAAACCATCACCATGCCCAGGCCAGTTTGGCTCAGTGGTTAGAGTGTTGGCCCATAGACCAAAGAGTTGTGGGTTCAATTCCTGGTCAAGGACGTGTTCCTCAGTTGCAGGTTTGATCCCTAGTCTTAGTTGGGGTGCATGTGGGAGGCAACCAATTGATGTGTCTCTCTCCCTTCCACACTCTCTGAAAACGAGTGGAAAAAATATCCTCAGGTAAGGACTAAGAGAAAAAAAAAATGTACTGGAGACAGAGATTTGTGCGCCTGCCATGTTGTCTTATCCCGAAAAATACTGGGAATCCTTGAATTTTTAAGCAGGAGGGTAACTTGCTCACAGCAATGTTTCCCATTTCACTCATTGGTATAACAGAAAGGTAAAAAACTTTTATGGTTTTTGCCATATTGTCCTATCATCTATGGTCAATTAACTTAATTTTAAAATCAAGTTTTTCTTTTATAAGAGGAAACTCATTACCAGCACTGTTTGCCACACTATCCAAAATAAATACGTGGCTATTAATGTGGAACAGCGTTCATTTATCTCATGCGCCTCCAGTATACGTCGGCCACACTTTGGGGGACCTGTGTACGGTGCAGACCGAGTTGGGGGTGACCGCGAAGCACAGAAACTGGTTAGCCTTATATTCTAAAAGACGGGAACCCCTCAGGCAGGCGCAGTCCCGGAGCAACTCAGGCCCAGGCCAAAGAGGACCTGTTGGCGGTGCTTCCCGGGGCAGGGCTAGCGCTTCTGGAACCTCGGTGGACACACGAGCCCCCGGGGGTCGTCAGCCGCTTAGATGCGGGTCGAGCAGGGAGCCTGGAGAGTCCGCGCGGGAGGCCGACGCCGCTGCCTCCCGGCCGGCTCCGGGGCGAGGCGCCG